ACAAGGACTCCAAGGAGCCTACTAACTCCAACAATAATAAAAATAATAATAATAAGCAGCATTATATAACAAACCAATATTAATACAAAGGTCTGACGACCCAAGGAGCAGAACAAAGATAAAAAACACTACCAAGAAAAAGATGAACCGATTTGGTTGAGCCCAGATTCTTCTACTTCTGCTGTATTTCAGTTTCACCACTTTTCCTCAACCCCTATCAATCATCTTTCACCTCTTAACTAAAGACTTCTGTACTCTGTACTCGAGATTCATTCTGGTCTCTCTTCTTGAACAAGCAACACCTCCCTCCCTCCGCCGCTGCCTGCCTGGCGTTCCTCGCCCGCCAGCGAGCATGGCGACCCACCAGCTTCTGAGCTTCTCACCAACCAGCTCTATTCTGGCCCATCTTTCCTGAACACGCAACACCTCCTCCAGCAAGCTCCACGGTGTCCAGTTTCATTCAACCAGAGGCCAGCAACAGGCAACATATTCTCTAACGAAGCTCCTGCACATCTACCTCTTCTTCAACATCGCCACTCACCGAACGTCTCTACTGAGCAGCTTCACCACACGGCACCACCAGCACAGACTGTCTATCATATAACTTATATTATACAAGAAACCAATTTTAGAGTTTCCATCCATCCTGAGTGCTAGACAACATTATACCACGAATTCCTACATTCTATACTTCGCGAAAATGACTCACCTGTTAATTTCGCTCCCCCACGATGGGTGACGTTTACAGTCGCGGGTGAACGGGGCTGTCAAAATCCGGTAATTCACGGTTAATCGGTAAAGAAAACCACCTTAGAGTTTCCATCCATCCTGAGTGCTAGACAACATTATACCACGAATTCCTACAATTCTATACTAGTGAAAAATGACTCACTCCAAGTTAAATTTTCGCTCCCCCACGATGGTGACGTTACAGTCGCGGGTGAACGGGCTGTCAAATCCGGTAATTCGTTTGCTAATCGGTAAACCGCCAAAACTCGATGACGTAGTCGGTAAGCCGTGACGTCACTGCTCCGACTCGTCTGTAAATTACCGACTTTAGGAAATATGCTTTTTCATGGCTAAAATACCATATAGAATACACAGAAATAAATTGTAGATGTATTTAATTACCTTACCTACATTTTACAAGCGATATTTTAGCAGAACTATATTCTGCTGAGTCACACACGAAGCGATATCGAGACAAGGAAGCCAAAGGTCACAACGGTTTGTTCCATGCTGGTATTCAGAGCTATATCCATGACTTCCGCTGCAGAGTTTTGCTGGATTCACCATCTAGCCGACATACATCGACAGTTAGTGAGTATTGAGCATTTTTATTTGTATTTTACTTTTATTTGCTATTATCTGATAACCTATTTTTCGTGTAGTCACCCCTATTCGTTTTCCATTCTAGTCACCAGTGCAAGCAGTCAGTTTTTATACAATTTAACGTTAACTATTATTATAAGTGTTCGTGATTTTAATATCTTTAGAGATATAATAAGCGTTTTGAAGAATCCACAATGCAAAATTCGGATCACCTGAAGAATCATCGCCCTAGCTTATTTCACCTAAAGATTAAACCACCCTAAAACTATTTTGGGAGGATGAGGTTAGGTTAGGATATGTTAGGTTAGATTTAGGTTAGGATAGAATAGGTTAAGTTAGCATTAAGGTAGTTAATCTTCAGGTGAAATAAGCTGGGGCGATGATTCTTCAGGTGATTCCAAAATTCTAACATATCTTTCTCATTACAGGACCACATCTTAACCAGCTGTGCGTCTGCATTATTGCTATAGTCGTTGTATTTGTTTCATCCTGCAACCTTACTCAATTGGTGAGTTTTACCGGATGTGGATATCAGAGTCTTTTACTTTGTGGATGCGGATATCATAGTTACATGTTTTGCGGATACGAATCTCTAATATAATACAGGTTCATGTATGTGAATGTCCGACGTATCTCTGATATAAATATTATAGACGTTGACTATCTGGATATATTTTCGAATACATGCTATTCTTTTTCTTTTTTTCTTTCTCGCCAATGTCATATTTCATATTTGCAGGCCAACATGTCATCGAAGGTGACGTTCCAAGATACATGGTTGCAGAAGCCAGAGTTCCAGCCCTGGCTGACACGTGAAGAAGGAGACTCCAAGAGGGCCTATTGCAAGATCTGCAAGAGTGGATTTGGGACGGAGATATCCACGATCAGGAGGCACAAGAAGGCCAAGATGCATGTCGCAAATGAGGGAAAGGCTGATCAACAAGAGAGTGGCCCTTCGACACCTAACTACTCTCTTAGCGGCGTCGCCTTTGCAACTATTCTTTTATGTTGTTTTATAGCAGAGCACAATCTGCCGTTTACTATTGCAGAACCTCTCGTTAAGTTGCAGAAGAGGATGTTTCCTGACTCCACCATTGCTCAAGAAATGTATTGCAAGAAGTATAAATGTCATGATGTCATGGCAGCATTGGGCAGAACTGCTAACGAGGATCCTGTCGCAAAACTACGTGTCAACAAATTCTCAGTTATTATTGACGAAACTACAGATGTAAGTACTCTGAAGCGCTGTGCTGTCATTGTGAGATAATTACATAAAGAAAATAACACCATTAACGTTGGCATGTTGGACTTGATTGATATTTATAACAACAACGATAACACTGGTTCAACAGGTGAAAACCTTCACTATGATTTTACAATGCTTACAATACCATATTATTCCCATAGAAAATTTTATTGGTTTTGCAGCTGATGGAGCTGCTAACATAATGGGGGAACATAATTCTCTCTGCAGCAGATTAAGAGGATCAATTCCAGGTGTAACCATTATTAAATGTATATGCCATTCAGTACATCAGTGTGCATCTGAGGCTGCAAAATCTCTTCCAAGGCACTGTGAAGATCTTCTCAGAAATATTTATTATTTATTTTCCCATAGTGCAAAAAGAAAACATGAATTTAAAGAATTTCAAATGTTTTGTAATATCAAGCCCCTCAAGCTTCTACATGTGTCGCAAACACGTTGGCTATCACTGCACCAAGCTGTAACAAGGGTTCTCGAACAATGGCAGGCATTAACTTTATATTTTCGCTCCAAAGCAATGGAAGAGAGACTTTTGAGTGTGGATAATATAATTGACAAATTGAACGACCCCTCTATTTTGTGTTATTTCACTTTTCTTGATTATATATTGGCTAAATGCAACAAAGTAAACCTACTTTTTTCAGAAACAAACACCAACAATATATCTGCTGCACGAGACAATTACAGATTTATACAGGACAGTTTTGCTGATGTTTTACCGGGCTGATGAACTTCAGAAAGTGCCACTGGAGAAAATAGACCCTCGGGATGAGAGGCACTACTTGCCAGTACATCAGATATGGTTAGGCGCATCATTGCAATCACTTTTTCAGAGGCCAAACATAAGGCAAAGGCTAGTTATGTTAAACGATATAAGGGTAAGATGAAGAAATTTCTTAGTTAACTTGTGTAAGAAAATCTCAAAAAGATTTCCATTAAATAATAATTTGTGGAGACTTGCTGCTTTCTTGAACCCTTCAAGTCCATTAAATCCTAACATAAGGGTCGAGATGCCGTCACTCGAGATGCTGGTAAAGGAGATGCCTCGTATTTTTGTTGGGGACATAAATAGATTACATGATGAATGGCGACAATTGCCATGGCACAATTTTGATGAAGATTCGAAAAGTTGTAACGTTCTTGAATTTTATAACAAGGTAAATGAAGTCGTTGATCACGAGGGAAACAAGAAATTTTGCATTTTATCACATTTCGTATTTCAGATTTTGTCGCTGCCTACGTCAAATGCAGATGCTGAAAGGCTTTTTCACGAGTTAATTTGATTAAGACGAAAATTAGAAATTCCTTGCAGTTGCCCTCTCTGAAAGCTTTAATTTTTGTGGCAGAGTATGTGAGAGCCCATGGTGGCATTTGTAATTTTCAGCCAATTCAAGCCATGTTACAATGTGTAAACAAAGGTCATGTATATATTTTTTTTGCTTAGTTAGGCTTCTAAATGTTTATATATTTGTATATTTTATGAAATGTCAAAGTAAAATTGTTGGAATGTTTTGGTTATTTTTTTTATTCAGTATTATCGAAAAGTAATACAAATTACAATTGATAAAATACAAATCTAATGTGATCTCGTATAACACTCTGAATGGTGTATAATGCAGTGTTTAATATTCAGAAATTTATAAAACTAAAGACAGGAACAATGAAATTCACTGAGTATGAGGACTACTCTAATATAATTACTGTATCTGGGATCTTCGTTACCCCTCACCACACATTTTCCCTTCTATTATAGAAAATCGTAATATCACGTCATGTTCTCGCAACCAATCACAACGCGAGCAGTTGAACCAATCAGCGTGTTCGGTAAACATGAGTCGGAAATCCCGACACAGCACTGCCAGGCACTCAAGGCAATCTCAGTCGCCCTCTGGCAGCCGCGGACTCCGAATGTGAGTGCCGTTTCTCTTTGAGAGAGGCAGATACTCTACGCCTTTTAACGAAATATATAGAGAAAAAAATACAAGGTGTATTGGCAGTTGTTTTCAGGAACACGTAGGGCGGCCGCGGACTCCGAATGTGAGTGCCGTTTCTCTTTGAGAGAGGCAGATACTCTACGCCTTTTAACGAAATATATAGAGAAAAAAATACAAGGTGTATTGGCAGTTGTTTTCAGGAACACGTGAGTTAACATAAATTCGTGTTATATCAATGTTTTTACATATGTGATTCAAAACATTAGAATTTCCATAAACTCGAGATGGTATACCAGCTAATTCAATACGTAATGCCCGTAATGAGTCGGAAATCCCGACACAGCACTGCCAGGCACTCAAGGCAATCTCAGTCGCCCTCTGGCAGCCGCGGACTCCGAATGAGTGCCGTTTCTCTTTGAGAGAGGCAGATACTCTACGCCTTTTAAACGAATATATAGAGAAAAATACAAGGTGTATTGGCAGTTGTTTTCAGGAACACGTAGGGCGGCCGCGGACTCCGAATGTGAGTGCCGTTTCTCTTTGAGAGAGGCAGATACTCTACGCCTTTTAACGAAATATATAGAGAAAAAAATACAAGGTGTATTGGCAGTTGTTTTCAGGAACACGTGAGTTAACATAAATTCGTGTTATATCAATGTTTTTACATATGTGATTCAAAACATTAGAATTTCCATAAACTCGAGATGGTATACCAGCTAATTCAATACGTAATGCCCGTAAGAGAAAACGGTTGTCGAATTTAAAGAGAGACTTAATGTTGCTGTGCAAATTAATTATAATATATTGTAAATACACTTGTCATTATATCAGAGCAACTTCCGTATTGTGTTTATGCGAGGATCAATCTGTTTCCAAGTTCTCAAATATCTGGTAGAATCCACGGAGACATATTAATAAGAGTTTACTTTGCTTGGAGATGTGGGGAGCATAAACAACGGTTCTTTAACGTTTTATACACCTTTCAAGTATACTCATTCAGAATCTGGATTATGCCAACTCAGTGACCTCGGCAAACCTAATGGAATTTGGGATATTTTAGATAGCGGCCAATATTGACGCCAAATAAGAAAGTCGGCATATTTTGGTCGTTTATCATCCATTCCCAATGATTTTCACGTTAATTCTTATGTTTTCAATACTAAAGATCCTATTTATTGAATCAGTATTAATATCTTATTCATATTTTGTGATGTAGCCATTAGTTATTAATCAAACTTGCTTACATCCATGTAAATGTCTGGTAGATCAGTTTTATGCCATGTTTCAGATATATTATTTTTTAGTAATTGTGAAATATTCTGAAGAGGAGGGCTATTTCTTCAAGTATAGAATGATAGACAAAGAATTGCCTGCTATTGGACTTAGCCAAAATCGTTTAATAATCAACGCCACCATTCAATGACATGATAAAATTCACACAGATCTTCAGAAACAATAAAAATTAGATGAAAACTCCAACCTAACAATTTTTTGTCATCTTGCCATATAAATCGATATCTGAAGCAAGCTGGATATATTGTTGTTACATGTTCAAGAAAGATCAGCTAGTGGTTAAGATAAATCATCGTTCTGAACTGTCAAAGTTCGTATTTTTGAAGGGTTGCATCTTCTGTGTGAAAGGTTTAAAGAACATCATTCTTCGAATCCCAGTATATGGTGAAAATTTATAAGATGTAGAACTGATGAGAGTGACTCTGGTAACATATCATTAAAAGAGGTTGTACTAGAGGTGTGTGTGATGCATTTAATGATGACTGGTCTAAACAAGTGCAAGTTCGAGTGTAGTGCGCCTTAGTGATCTGCACGCAGCAGATGTCAGGTATCACCACGACTTTAGGAAGAGGTTGATGGTGGCCAGTCGATCAAAGGTGCATTCGCTCATACGAAATTGAGACCCTGGATTTAGTAGTACAGTATATTGTAGTGTTTGTCATGCAAGATGGACACCAGTCTATACAAATAAACTGGTAGCCACATATTAGCTCGACGGATTCTTGAGTACATGAGACTGAGATAATAGATCATTTCATTGTAGAGTTAGTTTTGTTCTCAGAAGAAGGTTTAGCACAGTCTCTTTCTTCGACGATAGCCCCTAATTTGTTACGAATGGTAGATGGTAATAAGGAAGTTCTATCAGTAGAGAAAATATCGAAAGTAATTGTGTATGATACAAAACAATTGACTCAAGATCAGTGCAATTATAAAGCTCGTATTAACTTTAAAAAACAGCTAAACCAGCTTACGAGAAGGTCAGTCTCACCTTGCTGAAATTACTGTCCAGTATCTCGGAACAGTCACCATCAACTTTATCTGCCATTCTCATTTGAAACATGATTGCTAATATTGTCAACCAAAAGTCAACTGCCCTTCAAACTGCTCTTGGTGTACTTGTCAGCGAGGAAAACTACTTCCATACTTGTCAACGAGGAAAAATTACTTTCATACTCATCTGACTTTAGTAAAACATGTTCATATGATGAAATGATGCACACACACACACACAAACACACTAGTCAGTGCTCGTAGAGACAAGGCATGTCCAATAGGCGTAGCCAGGTCAGTCTGTTTGGCCCTGTCCCCCTTTGCGTCACCCTACTCTATTCCATATCTACCTCACTACACCAGGATTTATCAGCAAAACATTCAAGTGATCATTGTGAAGATTGGTTATCAAACAGTGATCCAATTGTGTCCCGAGGAAAAAAACAAGTGTGAATCACAACAAACCGCCAGTGAGCAGTGTAGTACTAGCCCGTGGGTACTTTGTCGGTGACCCTCAAAGTGCAAGAGCTTGCGACTAAACAAATAATGACAGATGTCTACCAGTGTACCACACCATGGAAAATTTGTCAGTGGCACTCAAACTGCCGCCATCGAGTTCGAGGTCACTACGGACAAACACTTTCGTATATCCACAACAACAGATATTAAAATATGTTCACCAGTGAAGCATTCCAGATGCTTCTTGTACAGTTTAGAAAAAAGGAACGGATACCCTGACGGTAGTGCTATTGTGCTAATAAAATCACTGAACATCTTTCATGCAAGTAGACGTAGACAAGGACGCCATAATACAGAAGCCCATCAAGACCATCACCTCCAGCAGAAAACAAAAGAAACCTAATCCTGACAGATCATACCAATAAACTGAATTTCCCTGAATATGGTACTGTCTCTCCTCCTTACTACTTTCCAATGTCACCTCCCTTGCCAATAAATTTGACGAACTCGCCAGGTCAATTACTGCAACGTCTGAAAAAGGCCAAAATCAGTCAGTGGTATGGTAAGCTTAAAGAACTCTGTGGACTTATCAATGAGAAACATCCCCTTCCTTAGCCCTCTCACTAATGGTGATGCAGCTGAGCAATCTAACAACTATATCGTAACTATATGTCAGACGCTCTCCTGTTTCACACAAACTAACAGCCCCCTCCCCCACTGACTTAGTGGGAGAATTTGAAGTAGCAAGATGTTTGGACAAACTGAAGTTAAAGCGCCATTAGTAGGTCCCAGCTCCCAGGCGAGGGTCGACTCACAGAACGGCTAAACATTATACCTTCTTCTAGAAGGGTAAGTCCGCTGTGGAAGGAAACCGCATTTCTGGAGTTGGTTTTGCCATTCTGCAGTCCATCCTACTTACGCTAAATGAAATGACTGTTAGGGTCAACGAGTGCCACATGACGCTCAGGGTCCCACTGAATCACTCACGTCATTCCTTTTTCATCAGTGCATACGCCCCAACACTGGATGCAGAAGATGACATCAAGGAGGACTTTTATGCTGACCTTCATAGAATGCTAACCTCTATCCTCAGAGAAGATAAGGTTGTGCTCCTAAGTGACTTCAACGCCATAGTTAGCAGAGATGCTGACAAGCATCTCTGGCAAGAAACCTTAGGGAGAAACTGAGTAGGCCAACGGCCTACACCTCAGCAAATGTGCTGAACACAACCTCACTATCACCAACACATTGTTTAGGCTGGCCGACAAGTTCAAGGGTTCTTGGAAACACCTAAGATCCAAACATTGGCATCTCAATGGCCTCATCATTTTCAGAGAAAGAGATCACCGAGAGTCCTCATCACCCGAGCCATGCATGTCTCAGACCACTATGCCACAAATCATTGACTCGTCAGTGCCAAGCTCTCCCTTCACATTGCCCCAAAATGGCGAAGGCAACAAGCCTTCAGAAGAGGTTTTAACACGAATTAACTTTAGGATCTAACGGTAGCACATGCTTTCAGAGAGCAGCTCGAACATGGACTTATAATCAACCTAGCAACAAACAATCTAACTCCGAGTGCCAAATGGAGTCCCATCAAAGCTGTCACCATGAAAACCTGCAGCAAGAAGACCCTTGGCCAGATCAGAAGAAAACACCAGGATTAGTTTGATGAAAATGACCAGGAAATTGAAGTACTCATCAATAGTAAACGTGCTGCTTTCACTGACTGGAAGAACAACCCTCAGTTTCGGACCAAAGCTGATACCATTCACTAGAAAAAAGCAGAGGCCCAGCAGGAACTTCGCAGACTAATGAATGAATGGTGGAAAAGTACACCTTGTGAAATGTAAGAATTTGCGAATCAACACAAGATGCATGAAATTTTTTATTTCACTAAAACACTGTATGGCCAAATCACTTACGGCGCGGCCTCCCTCCGTTTATCCAACAGTAGCACCCTAATTAAAGACAAAGAAGGCATCCGTTAGCACTGGAAAGAGTACTACCATTTGCTGCTTAACCAAAAAACCCCCATCGCTCGCCCTTGGGTTTATCGGCCCTACAATGTCCACCGCCACCCTCTCAAAGGGTTCAGAGATCAGTGGGAGGGGCCGTAGTGGTGCAGGCGGAACTCGCCCTCGATCACTGGTTTTCTGGCACACATCACAAGAGCGGACTAGCCTGGTGATCTCCTGGCCCATCCTTGGCCAGAAGAACGCCGCACTGATGCGGTCAAAGGTCTTCTTTTTACCCATATGACCGCCAAAAGCAGTGCAATGACCTAGCTTGAACACAGCCAGGCGGTACTTGGAAGGAACCACGAACTGTAGTCGTGTTTCACCCAGAGACGTCACGGTCTCTCGGCAGAGACGGTTCCTCTTCTTTACGAACCTCGTTCGATTCCCAAATGTCTCCTTGATGGTCCCAACTATCAAACTCTTGTGTACCGAAGTGAGCGTGCTGTCATCCTCTTGCTCTTGGACGACATCCTGACTATTGATGAGATCAGACGATGTGGCAATAGCCAATGGGGTGACTCGAGGTTTTGTTTGGGCCATACCCCGAGTGACTGCAGCAGCATTAACTTGGGTCAAGGCGGCAGCATCAGTTTGGGTTGCAGCATCCACTGCACAACTGTTTCTTGCTCCCTTGATATTCCCAATGATGAGATCGTATATAGGTTCCCTCATGACTGCTGCAGTGACCCAACCTGAGAAGAAGGGGGTGTCCACCTCAATCTTGGCCACTGGAACCGTTTGAATGTAACTATTGGCTAATTTAACACTTACTTGTGCTCCGGTGTATTGATGTTGCCCCACCAATTCTTTCCTGACAATACAGCCCGATGCCCCACTATCTCGCATGACAGTCGCTGGAACTC